GTAGGGGTTGTGAGGTGTTTCTCAGGCCAATGGGGTTATGTTCCAGAGGGACTCTTTGTCACTTCTGCTGTGTCATAATAGTTTGCCTGGGAAGTGGGGGATGGTTGGTAACAAAAGGTCTCTCTCAGCTCCCATGCAGTTGGCAGGGCTGGTGTTGCTCCCATGGTGCCTCGCTCAGACCTTGCCCCAGACTGTGAACTACCCCACGGAGAAAGAAGGCACGGCCTTTGGACCTTACCTCTCCCCATGTGCCCACCCTGTTGCCAACTCCTGTGCTCCTACACTTGTACCTGCAGCAGCTCCCACTCATCCCCCAGACTCCACTTGAGAAAATTTGTGCCCAGTTGAAACCACTAGTAGTTTCAGTTGGGAGCTTCCTTTGCACTGTGACCTCTCCTTAATACCACTGGCTGCCTTCCCAAGGGCCCATATGAGTTGTACTCAGGGACGGCTTCCCTGGGCTCAAGCTGGTGGGAGTGCCTTCAAGGCACTTCCTGCTGCTACTTCTATTTTTATATTTTGTGCAGCTCCCTAAATCAATTTCATTTCTAGGTAAGGTTAAATCCTTCTCCTGGGATCTGTATTTTCAGATTCCCCAGTGGGGATATGTGTTTGGAGGCAGGTTTGCCCCCCTCTACACTTTGAACACTCACAGTTTTTTGCCTGTTTCATGGAATTTGCAGGGGTGTCCCAGTTCTTTCAAAGGATCTGTGAATTATTTTGGTTTTCCTGGTATGTTTCTGCAGTGATTCTTGGAGCAAAAGATTACAGTATGAGTCTCCACATACTGTTCTGTCTGTCTGTGTGGGAATTGCACATTAGCCCTGTTTCCTATCTACCATTTCCCCCACATCTCCCAAAGGCTAGTAATTTTTGCACATTGATTTTGTAACCTGAAACTGCTGAAATTATTATTACTTCTTTTCTTCTACTAATTTTGGGTCTGGTTTGTTCTTGCTTTTCTAATATTTTAAGATGTGTCATTAGATTGTTTCTTTGATGTTTTTCCTCTTTTTTGGTGTAGACACTTATAAACTTCCATCTTAGGACTCCTTTTTCTGTATTCCATAGGTTTTGATATGTTGTGTTTCCATTATAATTTGTTTCAACCCATTTTTCAATTTCCTTAATTCCTTCATTGACCCACTAGTTATTCAGGAGCATACTATTTAATTACCATATATTTGTGTAGTTTCATAAATTCCTGTAGCTATTGATTTCTAGGTTTATTTATTCTATTGTGGTCAGAGAAGATGCTTGATATTGTTTCATTTGTTTCTTGAATGTTTTAAGACTTGTTTTGTGAACAAACATATGATATATCCTTGAGAATGATCTACGTGCTGAGGAAAAGAGTGTGCATTCTGCATCTCTTACATATAATTTTCTGTAAATATCTATTAGATCCATGTGGTGTATAGTGCATATTAAGACTGATGTTTCTTTATTGATTTTATGCCTGGAAGTTTGTCCAATGCTGAAAGTGGGATGTTCGAGTCTCCACTTTATTATTGTATTGGGTCCTATCTCTCTCTTTAGCTCTAATAATATTTGCTTTATATATCTGGATGCTACAGTGCTGGGTACATGTGTATTGTTATATTCTTTTGCTGAATTGGCCTCTTTATCATTATACAGTGACCTTCTTTGTCTCTTCTTACACTTTTTGTCTTGAAATCTATTTTGTGTGATATTAATATAGCTACTGCTCTACTTACTTCTGCTCTTCTGTTCTTCTTTGGTTTTCATTAGCATGGCATATCTTTTTCCATCCTTTCATTTTCAGTCTGTGTATATATTTATAGGTGAATTGTGTTTCTTGTAGGCAACAGATAAGTGGTTCTTGTTTTTTCATTCATTCAGCCACTTTATGTCTTCCAATTGGAGAATATAGTCCATTTACATTTATTATTGATGAGTAAGGACTTATTCCTGTCATTTTGTAATTTGTTTTCCAGTTGTTTTGTGGTCCTCTTGTTTTTCTTCCTTCCTATCTTCCTTTAGTGATTTTCTCTGGCAATATACTTTACTTCCTTGCTTTTTATTTTTTTATGTATTTGGTATATGTTTCTTGGTTTGAGGTTACAATGAGACTTGCAACTACTATCTTATAAACCATTATTTTGAGCTGATACCAACTTAACACTATTTGCCATAAACAAACAAGCAAAAAAGAAACTAATAAAAATCATATGCCTTAACTTTATCCCTCCACCTTTTAACTTTTTGTTGTTGCTGTTTATATCTTATTGTACTGTCATTGTCTTGAAAAGCTGTTGTAGTTGTTATTTTTGATTGGTTAATCATTTAGTCTTTCTACTTAGGATAAGAGTAGTTTATGTACCACAGTTAAACAGTGTTATAATATTCTGTGTTTTTCTATGTACTTAATATTACCAGTGAGTTTTGTACCTTCAGGTAATTACATATTGCTCATTAACATCCTCTTCTTTCTGAAGTACTCCCTTTAGCATTTCTTGTAAGTCAGATCTGGCATTGATGAAATCCTTCAGCTTTTGTTTGTCCAAGAAAATCTTTATTTCCCCTTCATGTCTGAAAAGTTTTTCATCAGATATATTATTCTAGGGCAAAAGTTATTTTCCTTCAGCCCTTTAAGTATGTCATGCCACTGTCTCCTGGCCTGTAAGGTTTCCACTGAGAAGTCTGCTGCTAGATGTATGGGAGCTCCATTGTGTGATATTTATTTTGTTTCTCTTGCTGCTATTAAGATCCTTTCTTTATCCTTGATCCTTGGGAGTTTGATTATTAAACAACTTGAGGTAGTCTTCTTTGGGTTAAATCTGCTTGATGTTCTATAACCTTCTTGTACTTGTATATTAATATCTTTCTCTAGGTTTGGGAAGTTCTCTGTTGTTATCCCTCTGAATAAACTTTCTACCCCTATCTCTTTCTCTACCTTCTCTTTAAGACAAATAACTCTTAGATTTGCCCTTTTGAGGCTATTTATTAGGTCCTGCAGGCATGTTTCATTGTTTTTTATTTTTATTTTTTTTTGTCTCCTCTGATGGTGTATTTTCAAATAGTTTGTCTTTAAGTTCACTAATTTTTTTCTTCTGCCTGATTCATTCTGCTATTAAAGGACTCTGATGCATTGTTCAGTGTGCCAATTGCACTTTTCAGCTCCAGAATTTCTGCTTGATTCTTTTTATTTCAATCTGTTTGTGAAATCCAACTGATAGAATTCTGAATTCCATCTCTGTATTATCTTGAAGTTGAATTTCCTCAACACAGCTATTTTGAATTTTCTGTCTAAAAGGTAACATATTTATGTTTCTCCAGGATTGCTCCCTGGTGCCTTACTTAGTTCATTTGGTGAGGTCATGTTTTCCTGGATTATCTTTATACTTGTAGATATCTAGGCATTGAGGAGTTAGGTATTTATTATAGTTTTAACTCTCTGGGCTTCTTTGTACCTGTACTTGTTGAGAACATTTTTCAGACATTTGAAAGGACTTGGGTGTTGAGATCTAAGCTGTATCTGCTTTAGGGGGCACCCCATGCTCAGTAACTCTATGATTCTTGAAGACTCATAGAGGTACCACCTTGATGGTCTTGGACAAGATCTGGGAGAATTCTCTGTATTACCAGGCAGAGACTCTTGTTCTCTTGACTTACTTTTTCCCAAACACACAGTGTCTCTCTCTTTCAGTTCTGAGCCACCTAAAGCTGGGTGTGGAGTGACACATGCACCCCTGCAGCCACCACCACTATGACTCGCTGGGTCAGACCTGAAGCCAGCACAATACTGGGTCTCACCCAAGGCCTGCTGAACCACTCCCTGGCTATTGCCTTTGTTTGCTCAAGGCCTTGTGGCTTTACAATCAGCAGGTAGCAAAGCCAGCCAGGCTTGTGTCCAGGTTGGTGAATTCCCCCAGGCCCCAGATGGGTCTAGAGGTGCCATCTGGGGTCAGAGACTAGAGTCAAAATCCTTAGAAGTCTACCTGGTATTCTATTGTATTGTGGCTGAGCTGGCCATCAAGCCACAAGACGGCAGTCCTTCCCACTCTTCCCTCCTCTTTACAAAGGCAGAAAAGCTTCATCCTGTAGCTACCACCATTACAGGCCATGGGGAGTTCTACCAGACTGCGTCTGATGTTCCCTTAAGGCCCAAGGGCTCTTCAGTCAGCTTGTGGTGAATGCTGTCTTACCTGGGACCCACCCTTCACAGCAATGGGCTCCCTTCTGGCCCAGGGTGGGTCCAGAAATGCCATCCAAGAGTTAAGTCTTTGAATTGGGGACCCTAAGAGCCCACTTGGTGCTCTACTCCCCTGTGGTCAGGCTGGTACCAGAAGCCAGCAAGTTTCAGAGGCTCACCCAAGGCCCTCAACATAGTACCTGGGCATCACTGCTGGTTATTCAAGACCCAAAGGCTCTTCAGTTAGCATGTGATCAATGCTGCCAGGACTGGGTTCTTCCCTTCAAGGCAGCAGATTATTTTCTGCCCCAGGGTCTTTCTGGAAATGTCATTTAGGAACTAGGGCTTGGAACAGGGGCCTCATGACTCTGACCAGTGCCTTATTCTGCTGTGGTATCAAAGATACGAGACACAATCCCCTCCACTCTTCCCTCTCCTCTCCTCAAGTCAAAGGAAGGGCTGTCTTTTGGAGCCATGAGTTGTGTAGCCCAGAGTTAGGGGAGGGGTGATGCCAGCACTTTCTTAGCTACCCCTGCTGGTGTCTCAGTAGTCACATGCCCCCCAGTCCACTGTCTCTGGGCCCAGTTCAGCACTACCACTCACCTATGAGTTCAGTCCTTACAGCCTAGACAGCCTTTCAAATTTACTTAGAGACCCAGAGCCCTTTAGCCCATGGTGGCAATTGACCTCTGGGGATTAGTGATTCCCCTCTGGCTGGGGCTAGTCCAAATGCTTCCTCTATGGGTGGATGTAAGCTGAGTTTGGTCTGGTTTTTCCTTCTGGTCTAACAGACAGCACTGAGTTCATCAATGCCTCACACTTGCTGTGCTCTCACTCTCCCCAGCACCCAGAAATACTCTCCACACCATGCTGCACTGCTGCGGATGAGGGAAGGGTGGTGTTGGGGCTTCAAGACTGTTTTTTCTACCTCTTCAGTGCCTCTTTCAGTGATATGAAGTTAAAACCAGGTACTATGAGTGCTCACCTGATCTGTGGTTCTTATGGAGGTGCTTTGCTTGTATATATAGTTGTTAACTTGGTTTCCTTGCAGGTGGGACAATAGGTGGAGGCTTGTATTCTGCCATCTTGCTCCTCATTTTATGATGAGAAATATGGTGGTCACAAAGGTTAAATAATTTGCCCAAGGCCACAATATCTGGTAGAGCTGGGCTTTAAACCCAGATGGGTGTTGTAAAGTTACAGCTCTACCTCCTATAAGGATAATGTTAAGCTAAGTAGGCTCCTAAAATACTCATTAAATAAACATTCTGCAAAAGTTAGTTCTCTTCCCTTCTTTCTATGTTGTGTCTCCTGTAACATCTTGGTCAGAAGTAAATGTCTGAAAAAAAGGGTCAAAAAAAAGTTGACTAGAAGATGGGGTGGAGGTGTAGAGGGCAGGGAACTGGTACAAATCACTGGAGCCCGGAAGTCTGGAAAAGGACCCAGTGCAACTCCCATGCAAAGATTTTTAGCCTGTCTTCTACTGCTAAGGACTTGAAAATAAGGTCTTCACAGGACCCAAACCTACTCATGGTAACCCTGTCTATAAATATTGATTGATTTCCAGAAAACACTCATTTTTTTTTTAGGATGTATGTATGTATGTATGTGTGTGTGTATATATATGTATATGGAATATAATAAATAGTATCATGTATAGTATTATATATTTAGAAATTTTGACATCATATAGGAGTGGCCCTTTATTTTTTTAAACTCATTTACAATGGATTTGTTGTTCTGGCTGCCCAGTATACCCTTCCTGTATGGAGAATTCCCCATACCCTGGCACCTTGTGCTTAAGTGTGGTCGTGTGGTCTCAGTACAACCTGATAGGTTGTTGTAGTAGCACCTTACAGGTGTTCCTGCCAGAACTGAATCTTGAGAGGCTGGTCAGCTGGTGATAATTTGCAGCAGAGTGGTAGCATAGAGAGCATGTCCAGGGCAGTGAAATGCAACAGCAGCAGTGGAGAAGATTTAGAGGCAGGGATACCTATAGTGCTTGTAGTGCCTATGATGCTGTGTTGAGCAAACATATCCTGTGGTACGATCATGGCTCTGCCTTGTTCCCCAGCTAATATACTTTTGATACATACCTTTTAGGCTTAAGTTTCCCAGAGTTGGTGTCTCATTAAAAATAAGTTGTTTTTAATGCCCCAAATATCACATTGATATTAGCAATTGTCAAAGCAAGATTGGGATATCAAATAGCCATTCCAGATTGGACTTGGGTTTGGATATCATTTGTGGAAATAATGCTTTTTGCTCTTTAGATACATAGGCAGGAAGAAAACCATCAGAATCAATCATCAAACCAGTTCTGACTGCTGGCTCTGTATGGCTGTTGGTTTCTTGGTTTATTTCTTATTTTATCTAAAGCCAGGTCATGCTATCCAGGTGGAATGTTCATAAAAACCAAAGACTTTAGTGTGAACATTTTCTTTAAGGTCAATGTAATTTACAGTCTGTCTAGAGAAGCTTTTAGAGATGTAGAATGTGACTGTAATCCACAATGCACTCTCATTACCCTTCCCTCCTATTAGAAATTGATTTTGGCACAGTTCCTTCAGGTGGAAAGTGACTCTGTCAGCAATTGCTGTTTCTTTTTTCACACATTGGGGTTCCCCCCACAAAAGTATTAAAGTCTCTTTAGTGTTCCTTTAGGAGAGGTTAAATACAGTTATCACCAACATTTGCAGTTTCATATCTGCCTGCTATTTCTACTGTGCTTTGCTTCGTAGGCAATTAGCAATCATGTGGAGTGGAAGATCTTTTCCTAAAATTACCTGAGCTTGGCTACTTTGTGTGCTGGGTAACCCTGAAGGAAAACGCTGCCAGCAAGGCACTTAGCCCTGGCTGTGGCTGACAGCATATGTCTTCCTCTCTCCCTACCACTGTGGATCTCCTTGTCCCTTTAAGAACAGCTAACACTAACAGGGCCACCAAACTATTTATGACACCTTGCAGCTTGACACTCAACAGGTCCAGAGAACACGGCCTTCTTCCATAGATAAGTTGTAGCTGACAAAGATGGTGGTCAGCTTATCTTTGTATGTGGCCAGTGGAGTTCCTGTAACCTTAGTGTATTGGGTAGTGCCTCTTAATAGTGCCCACGGTGCTCACTTTTTTTTTTGAAACAGAGTTTCTCTCTTCTTGCCCAGGCTGGAGTGCAGTGGTACAATCTCAGCTCACTGCAACCTGCGCCTCCCAGGTTCAAGCGATTCTCTCACCTTAGCCTCCCAAGTAGCTGGGATTACAGGCGCCTGCCACCACACCCAGCTAATTTTTGTATTTTTAGTAGAGACGAGGTCTCACCATGTTGGTCAGGTTGGTCTCGAACTCCTGACCTCAGGTGATCTGCCCACCTCAGCCTCCCCAAAGTGCTGGCATTATAGTTGTGAGCCACCACGCCTGGCCAGTGCTCACTTCTTAATACAATGCTTTTTAACCTGTTTAAATTCATGCCCCTTTGTTTAAATGTAAAAATTCTGCCCCCTATATTAAACACTACATCTTTCACATAATTGCAGACATCAAGTAGATATTAAGTTTAATTTTCTTTATACATATTATTCATTTTTAAAGTTTCCAAATATGAAAGCATATTGACTATGCCCTTGAAAAATGTAGTAGGCTCCCCAGAGATTTGGGTCAACCTGACTAGGAAGGAGGCTCCTTATTAATAGTTACAGATTATGGCAAAACTGAAGAGGGGTGGATCCAACAGCCATTCTGAACCTTCTCCTCATTGCCATCCGCTTGAAACATTCACTAGCTCTTCCATATTTGCTTGCAGTGAGGGATGGCCATGTGACATCATTGTTGTAGTAGTGAGATGTAAGTAGAAGTCTGCTGGTGAGGGGTTCTGGGAAACCTTTGCTTACATAATAAAAAGGACAGACTTAGCTGGTTTCATCTCTTCATGCTTTCTTGACATACAGAAGTTTGCCACCTTCAGCAACCTCAGTCTTTCAGTGTAAAATGTTAATAACACCTAACTCATATATTGCTGCAAAGGATATAAAGATAATGTATTTGAGATAAGGGTATCTTTTAAAAATATTAACCTAATTTTTTGGCACCTGGTATTTCCACATACCGTTTGTGCTCTCATTCCCCTCCCCCTCTCCTTTTATTTAGGGTGCTATTCTATAATTATTATCCCAGGGACAAGATGTATTGGTAAAAACAGATACACAAGGAGTCCCTTCTAGTCTAGTGGGGATAGGGAAAGAAAGGACACGGCTGGGCGTGGTGGCTCACGGCTGTAATCCCAGCACTTTGGGAGGCTGAGGCAGGTGGATCACGAGGTCAGGGTATCGAGACCATCCTGGCTAACACAGTGAAACCCCCTCCCTACTAAAAATACAAAAAATTAGCCAGGTGTGGTGGTGGGCACCTGTAGTCCCAGCTACTCGGGAGGCTGAGGCAGGAGAATGGCATGAACTGGGAGGCAGAGCTTGCAGTGAGCTGACATCATGCCACTGCACTCCAGCCCACAGAGTGAGACTCCGTCTCAAAAGAAAAAAAAAAAAAAAGAAAGGACTCAGGACATAGACTCAAGAACTCCTAATGATTCAAGATGTTTTCAAATTTGTAAAATCAGTTTTTTACTTTCAGTTTTTTACTTTTCCAGGAACATGGAGTAGACATATTTCCCCCTATTTCTCTCCCTAAGTGTAAAAGACCATAAGAAACCATCTAGGGACTTCAGAACCCAAATAATGACACAGTGGTGAGTTCCCTCGGTTTTCTTTTCTGCACTGTATTTCCCAGACTTGGAGCTGAAGGAGTCAGCAACATAGAAACACCAATGGGCACAAACAAAAGTAGCCCAAATGAAAGCCTCTTCCCATTAACCAGTGGACCAGGAAAAGGCAGCCTAGCAAGGCAGAAAACTTTTAGATGATAACTGTAATAACTTCTGTACTCCAGCCAAGCACCATAGGAAAAAAATGTTGGTCCACCCCACTTATGCCAACAAAGACCAAGTTATGAGCTTAAATGTCCACCCTCACTCAGCTGTGATGAACTGTCCCAACCCTCCTACTGGGATGGTGCCAGAGAAGGCCAAGTAGAGAGTTGGGACCTTAATCCCCACTGGGTGATAAGGAGACCCGCTCCTCCACAGTGTCAGTGGAGACCATGTGGGAAGCCTGGACTTCTTCCCTTAACTATCAGTAATGAGGTGTTCCTCCACCATCCTAGGGGGTAGTATTAGAGAAGGCCTAGCAGTAAGAAAGCTGCTCCCCCAGCCACCCCCATGGCATCAGCAGAGGCCATGTGGGGAATAGTAATGAGGTACTCCTACTCCTCCCAGCTAGGGAAGTCTCAGTAGAGAGGACTTGTGGGAAGTTGGAGCTTCTAATCCCACCTAGCAGTGGCAAAGAATCCCCTATCCTGTCAAGTGTCCATAGAGGATGAGTGGGGAACCTACTCATGGCAGTAATGAGATGCCCTTCCACCCCTTACCACCTTGCTGGAGCAGTGTGTCAGAAGAAGTCAGCTGAAACAGAAGGTTCAGAGAAGATAAAGATCGTTTCATCGAAATGATCAGGTTTCTATTGAAAATCACCTGTCACATCAAGAACCAGGAAGATTTAAAACTGAATGAAAAAGACAGTCAATAGATGTCAATACCATGATGCCAGAAATTTTAGCATTATATGACAAAGATTTTATAACAGCCATCATAAAAGTGTTTCAACGAGCCATTAATGAACATACTTGAAACAAAAGTTAAAAGTCTTAGAAAAGTAAAAAGCAAGTATCAGCAAAGAAATGAAAGATATAAAGAAGAACCAAATGGAAATTTTAGAAGTGAAAAATACAATAATGACACAAGATGTGCTTTCCCCCTATGATCAGGAATGAGGCAAAGATCTCCACTCTCATCACTCTTACTCAGCATAGTGATAGGCATTTTAACCCAAGCAAAAATGCAAGAAAAGGAAATAAAAAGCATACATATTAGAGAGGAGAAATAAAGCTGTCCCTGTTTGCAAATGACATAGTAGTCTATACGGCAAATCCCAAGTAATCTACATAAAAACTGTAATAAGTGAGTTTAGCTGACTTGTAGGATACAAGATGAACATACAAAAATCAATTTATTGCTATGTACTAGCAATGAACATGTGGCTACTGAAAAATTGCAAAATAGTACAAAGTTTTAATATATTCTTCACCTATACAATCCCAATTGTTAACATCTTGTGTAAACACAGAACAAGGATCAGAACTGGGAAATTAACATTGGTACAACACAATTAACCAAGGCTGGAGTGCAGTCGCGTGATCTTGGCTCACTGCAACCTCCACCTCCAGGTTCAAGTGATTCTCCTCTCTCAGCCTCCCGAGTAGCTGGGGCTACGGGCATGTGCCATCACGCCTGGCTAATTTTTGTGTATTTAGTAGAGACGGGGTTTTGCCATGTTGGCCAGGCTGGTCTCAAACTCCTGATCTCAGGTGATCTGCCTGCCTCGGTCTCCCAAACTGTTGGGATTACAGGCATGAGCCACCACTCCTGGCCTCCACTAATGTATTTGTTTTGTTTTTGTTTTTGTTGTTCCAGGATCCCACTCAACATACCACATTGTATTTGGTTGTCATTTCTCCCTGTTCTCTGACAGTCTCCAATTGTTCCTCGGTCTTTGTCTTTTGTGTGATCTTGACACCTCCAAAGATCAGTTATTTTATTGTATGTTCCTTATTATTACCCTGCCCAGGGCATTCTCCTGATTGGACTGAACTCTTGCACGAAGAAACCATCTGAAAGCTTCCAACTTCTGAAATTCAGAAAGAATTCCTAAGGAAAGAAGGGATGGGGAAGGAAAGTAAAGCTACTGCTGGTCCTGCAGAGGAGTCTTCTGCTTTCGAATTTTTAGATGTATCCCTGGGGAAAAGACCAGAAAAACACCAAATAGATTTGTGGAGCCCAACAGCTAAAGGTACATGTGCCCTTTTTCTGCACAAAGGCCCAGGAGGGCTGAAATTACCCAGAGAGGGATGGAGTTGGCTGTGAGGGGTGTTTGAGGGAGTAGAGAAGGCACCATAGGTGGCACGGCAGGGCGTGGCAGAGTAATTTTTGTGTGCCAGGGAATGGGCGCAGAAGCCACTAAGAAAGCTTGTGAGCTGGGAACAAGGAGCATCTCCACAATGAGCTCCCTGACAGATAGGTCAGGGGATCTCTCAGCCAGTGTGGACAGGAAACATCAAGGACATTACATAAGCTCCCCCTCATTCCACCCCAGAATCTAGATGTGATCAAGAGGACAGAGAGATACTCCAAATTTGCTTCCCACCTACCAGAATATGGACTCTGTTCTGTATTAACCAATAAATAAAGTATGTTGCTCATGATCTTGAGCTATCATCTGGGATTCATACCCCCTAATAAATGCCAGTAAATATTATGAATAAAGGTATATGTGCACAGAAGTGTGTGCATGAATATGAGTGTGTATGTTTGTTCCAAGCAGAGATAGCAGCATTTTACAAGGTCTGGAGATAAAGTGAGAATGTGCATGTGGAGAACGAGAAACCATTCATGGGGAAGTACACCAATGGTTGTTTTGTCAGATTGGGTTCCCATTGATACTGTGTTTTTTCTATTACACAGTGATATATGTGGAAGGCACCAAATCATGATGCTAGGAAAAACATCTTGATATGTAATGCCATGCCCACCATCTAGGTAACGGTACTACATGTCTTTGGTCCTTCCGCATGTGCCAGAGGGTGTGCTGCCATTAACCATGAAAGGAACCCTTCAGCATGTTTATGAGTGTGGATGAGAGGTATTGCCCCTTTCTCCTCCAGATGGTGAGCAGGTTGAAATGACAGCTCAGCCACTCCACCACCAATAAAACTTCCTGACACTCTGTAGTCCTTTACGGACTATGACTCAGTTCAAATTTCTAGACGTATGGAATGTAGAATTTTAGGCCAAAGGGGTTCTGAGTGGGGCCAATTGCCTAAATGTACAGATGGTGAGATTGAGGTGTAAAGAGGCAAGGATGCCTTGCCTAAATGTCCTCAGCAGGCCTGTGACTGAGTCTCTGGGGCTCCAGGCCCCCAGCCCAGTGTTTTCTGGCTACTTCGCCATGTTTCATGGCTCTCTGGAGTAGCCTCCTTTCAGGAAAGCACTACCTGCCCCTTTGGCTCACTCAACTTTCAAAACCCAGTTCAAATACCCACTGAATTGACCTTCCCCATGATAATTCTTATTTATTTGGCAATTAAATAAGTGTTGTCTAATGCCCTACCTTCTAAGGTTATTCTGTCACTTTAAATATATATATATATTTTTTGCTGTCAAGTCTTTTTTTTCAAAAAAGACTTAAATTTTAAAGTCTTTATTATCTTACCCAATGAAACTATTAAATTTTTAAGGATAGGCATCATAATTTGTGCGTGTGTGTGTCTGTGTGTTCCCTCAAAAGTACCAAGCACAGTGTCTTGGTACTAGCAGGTACCTCTAGTAGGTAAATAATAAATATTATTTGATTTGATACTGCTAGCACAAGTTCACAGCCATGTAAAATGAGATGCAAAGGCAGTATAAGGTTAATAACATGGACTCAGGAATCAGCAGGCCTGGTTTTGACAAGTTGTGTGACTTTGGAAAAGTTGCTTAAGTTCTGAGCCTCAGTTTTCTCATCAGTAATGTGGGTTAATGACACTAATCTCTTACAGCATTGACAAGAGGATCACATGGGATTATATATATACATTTGTATGTATATATAGCTATCTGTATATTACTAGATAGTTATTATTATAATAGTAATATAGTAATAATTACTGTATTATATATTATAATAACTATGACTATGTATAGTAATATATAGATATAGCATATGAAACACACACATATATATGGCCACAGCTATAATCCTTCAGTTGATGGCAGCTATTACTACTACTAACGTCATGAGTTGGAAATCAGGCCAATTAACTCCATTCATTGAGTTCTATGGGCTCAAACTAAATCTTCAACAAATATAGTCATCTCAACACCTCACAGAAGGGTTAGAGAGTCCAGGCAAAATCATGTGGGTAGGCACCCATGCAAATTCTCACCCGCTGTTATCCCACCATACTCCCACACTCATAAAACAGTAGCATATATATAACACAGGGGCTATGTACCATGGTGATGTGTATTTGATACACAAAAATTATGTGAATTATGCATGTGTGTACCTATGTGTATGTGCACACATTTGCAGGGTAGTACTCTCCAAAAACAAAAACAAAACAAAACCCTCCCACCCCGGCCAACTCAAACAAGTAGTCCTCTTGCCCAATAGTTGTTAGCCACATTCTCTCCTTGCATAAATAAAACCACTAGGAGGCGCCTTAATCCTTCTCTTTAGCAGCCTTTCTGCTCGTTAACACCAGGGAGTCAGATCTAAAAGTCCTTAAGTGAATCTTTCTTTCTCAACCCACTGCAGAGTGTGCAAATCATTTCCTCAGCTGATTCAGATGTATTATGATGTGCTGGGAAACCTGAGCATTCTCTCACCCTGTGGAGATTAATTACCTTGAAATATTCATTGGATTAAATGTATTTAAACATGTACTGTTTAAAGCTCAGTGCTGCAAAATGTCATCCGCAAGATATATATTACGGGCATTAAATAATTAAGTTTAGTGTGTGAGAGGAGACAGTGGGAGGGAGAGGAAGAGTGAAGGTGGGGGGAGGGGGGGGAGAGAGAGAGAGAGAGAGAG